TATTGATGATTGTAAATGTCTACATTTAAAAAGAACACATCAAATCAATGTCATAGAACTTTTAAGATGCAGAAGAACAAATTAAACTCAAAGCAAGGAGAATTTTATGGAAATAATAAAGACTAGAGTGGAAATGAATGAAGTAATGGATAAAATAAAAATGGGAAATCAAGGAAATTAAAAATAACTGAAAAGATCAACAAAAATTTCAGCCCTGTAGCTAGAGATCAAGAAAAAAGAGAGAAGACTCAGATTACCAAAACCAGCCCTGAGTCAGGATCTCTACTGACCTGACAGAAATAAAAAGGATACCAACAAAATTATTTGAATACCAACTATGGGCACCAAGAAATTAGATAGTATAGATGAAATGGATAAATTACCAGAGAGACACAAACTATTAATATTGACTTATAAAGAAACAGAAAATCGGAATATCTATAGCAAGTAAAAAGATTACATTAATAATACAAAACATTACCATGAAGAAAAGGCTGGTCTCAGTGACTTTACTGTGAAATTCTACCAAATATTTTAAGAACAGTTAACATCAATATTCACAAATTTTCTTAACACGGTAAAAGAGGGCTAATTATCACTGATCTGTACGTGTAGATATAGTTAAAAAGATAAATTTCATGCTATATTTATCTTATTATAATTAAAAATAATTTGAAAAATAGAAGGGAAAGTTTTACTAACTCATTCCATGTGACCAATATTACCCTCATTCCAAGACCAGACAATGACATTGCAAGATAACTACACATCGGTGTCTCTTAAGAGTATAGTTGAAAACTCTCCCCCCAAAATGCTAGTTAACCAAATTCATTTAACATAAAGAAGATTAAAAACACTCAATAACCTGGAATAGAAAAAACTTTCTTAAATTGATAAAGGCCATGTATGAAACACTCAAGCCATATTTATCCTTGATAATGAGAGACTGGTTTGTTTCCCACTAGAATAAGTAATAAAACAAAGATGTGTATTCGTATCACTTTTCTTTGAATTTTAGGCTAGAGATGCTAGCTGGGATAATTTAGCAAGAAAAAAAAAATAATAAGAGGCATCCAAATTGTAAAGAAAATATAATACTCTCATTGTTCACAGGTGGAATGATCTTGAATATAGAAAATCTCAAGGAACACACACAAACACACACATACACACTACTAGAACTAATAAATGCATTCATCAAGATTACAGAAAACAAGATGAATGTGAAAAATCAATTGCATTTCTATAAACAAGTCATAAATAATTTGAAAATAAAAGTAACAGTGTAATATATAGTGATACTTTTATAATAGTACCAAAATAATAACACACTTATGAATAAAACTAACAGGAGAAGCTTAAGACTCATACTCTAAAAACTAGAATATATATTGAAAGGAGTTAAAGAAGACTTCAATAAATGAAAAGAGATCTTCGTTCATGGATTAGAAGACTTAATATTGTTAAGATGGCAATGATCTCCAAATTGATCTATAGACTTAATGTAATTATCATCAACATCCCTGGTACCTTTTTTCTTTTATGGGCATTGACAAGTGGGTCCTAAATTTCAAGTGGAAATGCAAGGAACTCAGAAGCAAAACAGTCTTGAAAACACAGCCCTGAGTAGAAGACTCATACCTTCCAGTTTTGAAACTCTCTACCAACCTACAGTAGTCAAGGGAATGTGATTCTAGGAAACAGAGAAGTCCAGAAACAAATCCCCAGCATCAGTGGTCAACTGATTTCCAACAAGAAAGCCAGAACTACTAAGTGGGGAAAGGAGTCTTTTCAGCAGGTGGTGCTGGAACAATTAGATATTCACTGCAACAGAATGAAATTGGACCGCGATGTCTACTGTATGCAAAAGTTCATTCAAGATGGACCACAGACCTAAACATAGGTGTGAAAAATATAAGACTCCTTAAACCATGTAGGTGTAAATCTTTATGACCTTGAGTTAGGAAGTGATTTCTTAGTTATGACATTAAAAGCTCAAGAAACAAAAGCAGAAAAATAACAAACTATCAAAATTAAAAACGTTTGTGAACCATCAAGAATGTGAAGAAAATGGGAAACAGATGGGATATACAAAGAACTAAAAAAGTAACACCAAAACCCCCAAATAGCCCAGTAAATAAATGGGCAAAGGAATGAAACAGAAACTTTACAGACGAAGAAATACAATTGGCCAACAAAAATATGAAAAAATGCTCAATATCTCCAGCAGTTAGAGAAATGAAAATTAAATGAAAATTAAAGTTCCCGGTTGAGTTCCCGTTGGTTCTCCCGGAGTTTTGGTTGAGTTCCCGTGGTGTTCCCATGGGGTTCTGGCAATAAAGTAGTTCCTGTTTGAACCTAAAAACAAAAAAAAAAAGTAGTTCCTGTTTGAACCTACGAGTGGCTCATGACCTCCTGGTTATTTTTGTGCCCAGCCAGACTACAGCACTGGGCAACAGGAAGCATTGTTTCACCTGTTAGTTTTGTAGTTTGCTGAGCCTTCAGTTGTTCTAGGAAGGCATGATGAAGAGAATTCCACGTCACCCTGAGACCTTACCTTTTGGTCTATCTAGAATCTGGTCCCCACCCTGCCACCCCCTTGGGGGAATTGTGTTCTGCTTATGAGACAAGAGGAGTCAATAGACATTTGAGGACCAGAAGTGTGAACTATGGCAGAAGCTTATCGGGCTCACTGACATTTACGTGTTCCTCTTCTCTATGGGAACACCAATAACCTGTATTTCTGGACTTGATAAGGTAGATAGGGCCAGTGTGACCAGGTTCTACCCAAGCCATTATGAACAGAAAGGACATATATCATTTTTGATTCCAAGTGGATAAATGCAGGGATGTATTCTCCATATTTAGTATATTTCCCTGTTCTTGTGCCTGAATTCGGAGGAAAATAAGGCATTCAGAAGTTGCAAGGGCATATGAGGGAAGGAACCTGGGTCCCTTCATGGCTGTTTGGAGCAAAGACCTTGCCAATCCACCCTGGACACCAGGAATAAACAACTTCTACTGAACTGAGCAACAGCAACAGGGACCGTTTGTTACTGAAGCTATCCTAATACAAATACCCTAATACAAATAGCTTAATCAGAACACATTATTAAATGTTTTTATTAGTATGTATGGTTATACATAATAGCAAGGTTCATTTTGACATAATCAGACACACATAGAGTATAATTTGCTCATTTCAGCCCCCAGCATTTCCTCTCTCTTCCCCCTTCTCTCTCTCTCTGTTCCTCTTCCGTCGCTCTACTGGTCTTCCTTCAATTCATTGCTTTTTAAATTGGTGCTTTATAGATGTCCTTTATAGACATGCTTTACAGATATAGATAATGGTGGAGTTTGCTGTGATATATTCATACATGTGTGTAGTGTGACTTGCTCGATTTTGTTTTTAGAACAGACCTTCTACTGTTTGCTTTTTTGGTTAATTGGTTGTGGTACTAGAAGATGCTCACTTGGATGTGATGGTAAATCTTATTTATCACTTAAGCAAGAAGACATAGGGTAAAAAGACTTCTAAGTACATGTTTTCCAAATAGTGTAATTTTAAAGAATGTAATCAGGGAAAAAGAATCAAAGAATCTCCATGGCTTGAGTTTTACCCAATGCTGATGATATTTTTATTAGTTAATTTTCCAATCTAGGGAAAATATGTTTCTTTTTATAGCACCACGGGACGATGTGCTTTGTCCCCCAGTAACATAAGCTCCAATGTTCTATAACAGAGTAGGATGACTATAGTTTACATTAGAAATTATATATTTTAGGATAAACTGCAAGAGAGAGTTCAAAGTCCCCAAATATGAAAAAAACATGAGTTGAAATTCTAATTACCCTGACTTGATCATTATATATTGCACATATGCATTGAATCATCCTACTGTATACTATAAATATGTACAATTATTATGCATCAATTAAAAATAAAAATTAAAAAGTGTCAATCTTATGCCAGTATATATATGCACACATATTGATGCCCTGTTAGTGTCTGTTTTGTTTCATTTCATGTCTCCTTATACTCTAGGAAGATGTGGGTGGGCTTAACAGTCTCCATTTCCCATGGTATTCACCACAATATGTGTACAAAAAGTCTCTGCCTTGGGATTCCAGTGGACCAGCTCTTGTGTGTTACTCTGTGGGAAGGCCAGGTCTGGTTGTGTGGGTGTTCGAATGAGGGGTGGCGGTGGGGAGTGAAGTGTCCCTGGACGGCACCATGGGTTCCCCTTCTCCCCTTTCTGGCACAGAAGGGGCACTCAGAGAATAGAGAGGATGGACCCAGAAGAAATAGACAAGGAGGAGCAGACTCATACGCAGCAACCAAGTTCCTTGAAATAAATAGGAGTTGTTTGAAGAAGTCAGATTTGGAGGTAGGCACCCAGGGTGAGAGTGCCTGTCACCTGACTCACAGGCACCCCTGGCTCAGCTGGGACAAGTACTAACTAAACGCCAGTGTGAGGCTCCATCCCTGCGTGCCCAATGCAGCAGCCTTTGTGTGGCAGGGGACAATGTTCCTCCCTAGCTCGGGAGGCCCAGTGGTAAGGACCTCCCACACTCCCAGCGTCAGGATTGCTGCCTTCAGAACAAAGCCCGCTTTCCCCTCCTGTCTCCGCACACAGCTCCCACCTCATGAGGAAAAGGAGAGTAGTCAGACAATGAGGCACACAGTCAGCAGAGGCATGAAGGGAATTTAATGGGGACAATGACAGAGCTGGATCCCTTGTGTTCCCCTTAAGTCCCTCTTCAGACAAATTCTGAGCAGCTCAAACCCAGCTCAGGTGCCAAGCCCCCCCATCCCCTGCCTAATTCAGAGGCTCAGATGCCCCCAAGTTCCTAGCACATGCTTTTGTTTGCAAATAAGAGAGGGACTGTGACTTAGGTGATAGAGCATGTCCTATAAGATGGGCGGAACTTGAAAGCCAGAATGGGGAAGGGGTTCAGCATCCGGTGGTGGGCTCCTCAGAGGCGTGGCTGTGACCATGTCACTTCTGCTTTGTCTTCAGTTGAGCTGGCACTGGAGTGACCGTTGAGGGGCAAGGCTCAGGCACCTTGGGGTGGCAGGGCTCAGGAGCCTTGGGGTGGCAGGGCTCAGGCACCTTGGGGTGGCAGGGCTCAGGCACCTTGGGGTGGCAGGGCTCAGGCACCTTGGGGTGGCAGGGCTCAGGCACCTTGGGGTGGCAGGGCTCAGGCACCTTGGGGTGGCAGGGCTCAGGCACTTTGGTTTTGGGAACACATGGTTCCTGGGGTGGAGGCTGGCAAGGCTGCTTCACCTGCTGCTGGTGCAGCTGAGGGGGTGGGGCGCAGGGCTGCTTCTGCTGCTGGGAACTCATGCTCCAGTGGCGGCTGGGCCTGGAGACAGAACAGAAGATGAGAGCAGGAAATAACTCAGAAACCATCCCTTAAGAAGCACAGGTTCTTCTTTCTCTCTTTGCACCACAAAGAATACTTGGATGGTTTCTGAGTCTTTGGAGGAGGGACTCGAACGTGATCCTTCTGTGGCACTGGAGCGGGGCTTTCCTACTGCACACCTTAAAGCTCATTAGCCGCACAGCCCAGCTCAGCAGGCCGGCAGAGTGAGGCTCAGAAATGTGATGTTATCAGAGAGAGACAAAGCAAACCCCACCTACTCATAACCAGAAGGGCTCGCCACCTTTAGGGCCACTCGGACCTCTCCAGAACGCCACATGATCACACTTGTCGCTTGGCTCACAGGCACCTCTGCCTCAAGTGCTTTCAAATACCACACCACCCCTGCACATCACCTCCGACGACACTTCTGGGGAATTTGCTAGAGCAAGCCCTCCGGAAATCTCTATCTCCTCCAACTGTTATAGCACTTTGCCCTCATCAACCGACACTGATAACTTCCTGCTTGGGCTTTAGTTCTTATTCTCCTGAATAAAATGTAGTTTATGAAGTGAATTCCCTGTTGCCTCAATTATTTTTTAGCAGCCTAAGTGCCAAATATAGTAAGTTTTAAAAAATATTTGTTGATATCTTTATTTTGGTCACTAACACCAAATGATAACAAGACTGTGGAGGAATTAAATTTTCATACATTGCTGGTGAGAAGGTAAAATGATGCAATCACTTTCGGAAAGAGCTTGAATTATACATTTAAAATTGGTGAATTCATATTATGTAATTTATACACTGATAAAGCTGATTTTTCAAAATCAACTGGAAAACAACATTTTTAAATGAGTAAAATGCAATTCTGATAATGAAAATATTTATTGAGAAAATAAAAATCCGAGGTATTAAAATGATGACTAAAGAAAGAATTATGCCAATCAAGGTGCTATAGACCCGGTTCTAGTTTTTATTGTGCTACTCGGTCCTTGGACCTGTCAATCCCCTTCTTACTAACACTTGAGATCAGATGGGGCAGAACCAATGACACTAAAGTCCCTTCAAGCCCAAACCATGACTACGTTTAAAACAAAGCTCTAGCTGGAGTCTGTAATTCACCTGGACAGTCTGCATGACCATGATCAGCTTTCAGCAGAGGGCAGAGAGAAGACACCAGAAATGTCAATGCAGTTCCAATCAAATCAAATGCCTAGAGAGAATGATCAAAAGTTCCAAGAGACTCACCTGGTGTGCAGAGAAGAACAGGCAGTATGGTCAGTGGGATCTGATGCGGTGCCCTCCACCAACTGGCTTTTTATGCAGGGAACATGCCCTGCCTCAAGGAAATGGGATCTTTGGGACTGCCCTGTCTTCCTCTCTGTCAGGCATGATTCACCCCGTTGCTGCATCCACCTGTTGGCTCAGCTTTTGTGATGAAACTACCAAGGTGATCTGGTTTTTTTTTCCTCTTTCCTGGGCATTTGCTGTCAGTCACCTGGACTTTAACCCTGACAGTAACCTTTGTACTCAGGTCTGGGGTTTAAAGGGAGGGTGGGTGGCATCAGCTGAAAGTATGTGAAGAAAAGGGCTCTGGGGATGTTGGACGAGGAAAAAGTCCTGTCCTCTGGACGATGCTGACTCTTAAAAAGGGCGAGGCCCGTTGAGTGGCTCAGTGTGGAAATAATCATATGTTTCTTGGAGGCCATCAGCACGATGGCTTGGACGGCCCCAAGTGGAAAAAGTGGTGACTCTGTTTATTCATCACTTAGATTGCTCAAGCCTGGGAGGGAAAGAAAACGTTAAAATGATTATTTTGGCTCTATTGAGGTTTCTCTCCAGGAAGAGACTCTAAAGACAGTAGAAGAGCAGAGGGGCTTCCACCAGGGACCGGGAGAGCCGGCAGTGAAAAGAGGGCAGGACAGACTGACTCTCAGCTCCAAAGCACCTGGTCTTTCTAATCCAGCCACTGGTTCTGTCTCATGTGACAGCAGGCCCTGGAGACCCTGCCTCCCGTGGGGATCCCTTCTCCAGGTGCAATGCAGCAACAGGAGCTGGGATGCCCGAGCCCTCGAGATAGGATAAAACTGAGGCCATTAATCTAGGTCCACCTGCAATACCCGCCCTGAAATCGGGCCGATGGGTTGGGGAAGTGCAGTAGGAGGGATTTCCCGAGGAGGGATTTCCTGTTGGAGTAGTGTATCCCAGGAGGAGCCACGTGGTGTGGCGTTTGGCATTTCTTTCCCCCGGGAGCGTGTGTGGAGTGTGCTGGTGGAGTTCAGAAATAAAGTTTGTTCCTGCTTGAGTGGCTCGTGATTCTGTGCCCAGCCAGACTGCGGCAACATGGCCCCTGCCTCCTTGTCTTGCTCACCTAAATGTTTCTTGGACTTGCTGGATAACTGTCCTTGATACTTCTTGGACATCCTCAGATTCTCTGTGTCCTATCTTTTATCCACACACTATCATGTGGTCCTTCCCATTTGGGCTTGGGTGGACTTTGTACAAGGACCTCGAGTTGCTCTGCAGGACCACGCTGAGTGCCTCTCCCTTCCTGATCCAGGGCTTCTATGATACTGCAGGTGCAGGGCACCGTGAAACACACATGCTCTTGTGTGTCCAACCCAGAAGTGTGAGAGAGTCACTGCACGTGGGCCCAGACTTGACAAATGATGGTATTGGGGGGAGTGAGAGGCATCTGAGGATAAATGCCTACCTTCATTCCAGGACAAACAGTTTCAAGACCATTTCCTAATGATCCTTAAAAAATCCCATGGACTCAGCCATCTATTGTTCTTGGTGATGAGCAGAAGGAATGTCTCCTTGAGCAGAAGGAATGTCTCCTTGAACGGTCTTTCCTTCCTGCTCATTTTCCCTTTGTAATGATTTCTCTTCCCTGAGGTCCCAGCCTATATGGACTCCCTGCTCAGGAAGTTAAAACACCTGGGCAGACGGTCAGTCACTGTGGAGGGTGATATGGTGGTGGGCAGTGAGGAGGGGTGGGCTCTGTGGAACTGTGAGGGGTGCTGAGCACTGGGAGAGTATGAATCAGACAGCGGGAAGGACCTGCCACAGGATACACAGGCCAGGTTCCAGGAGGTGGCAGGCAAGGCTACTGAGAGCAGAGCATCTCTCCTGGTACTTAGCCATGTCTGGGAGAAGGAGGTGGCTGTGTTAATAAGCTCTCTCCTTCAGGGAGAGAAGGAAACGCTCATCTGATAAGCCAGGGCAACGCGTTGGCAGGAGGATGGTTTTCTCACACCTAAAACCACCATGATGACAAGGGGGTTGTTTTCCCTCCCTTCCCATTTTCTTACCAGAATTTGTGTTTTATTCTAAGGACACTCCCTTCCCATACCCAAATAAAATGCATATTTTCTTATGTAGCAAAAAACCTTAGAGCATGAAAGGAAAAAATAAATTAAGGAAGGAAGTCCAGATTTTTGGAATTGAGATCACAAGAATTCTTTCTTTTCCTTTTCTACTGTGAAGTTGATTTTAACGAAACAGCCTCTGCCCACGAGGGAAGAGCTTCTCCCGACAATATCCACATTTAGTTCACTCCTCTGTGGGATCTAGAAGTGGGATTTCTTTCTCAAATGGAGACTGACTTGTTCTCATTCTTTTTCATTTTAATGTCATCTGACTTTTTATTCCATGAGGATTTCAAAATAATCTCCTGTAAAACACAGCAAAATCATAGCCTGTAATTTATTTTATCGTTTTACTGGTGCATTATGACTATACGTAGGTGTGGGATTCATTATGCCATATTCCTACACGCACACCACAAAATTCGATCAGTTTCTCTCTTGGTACCTTCCTTGTCCTGATTGGCTTGCTCTACTTATTATTATTTGACGTTCTCTCTGTCATTGTTATTTTAATTAGTGCATTATAATTATATGTAAAATCATATATATCATATACATTATATCTATAAAATCAGATATGTGTATATTTGTTCATATTTTATACAATCTGATATATAGCTCTTCTAGCTTTGGGAAACACACTGGATTTGCATTATACACAATTGATATGTGATGTATCGTGGTATACTCTCACATAGACACAGTATACTTTGGTAGACTTCATTCCCAGCACTTTCCCACACACATATCATGTAATATCTATAGCTCCTCCCTCCCACATGAGAAAAAGCCCAGAAACAGCAAACGTTCATCTGCTTTCACCTTCCAAACACTATCTGGTTACTCCAAAATAGACTGACTCTCAGAATTCAGGCTCAGCCCTGGGGGGACTGCAGTAGCCCCTGTGCTGAGAGGTGGACATCTCAAGGTTGAGCAGGGTCAGTTATTTCTCAAGCTAAATGCAAGTCATCTGCGATGGCAAGTCACCTAGGATGACAAGTCAAGGAGTGTCAGGTAATGACATGTCCAGGAACCTCCCTCCTGGAGTATGCGCTCGGCAGGGAGGCCCTGCTTAGCCTTGTCTTTACCAGGGATTACCGGTGACAGTGGAAAATTCTGAGAGTTTTCTGGCTTGATAGAAAAGGAACTCTGTCTATTTATTTAATTGACAACTGAAGGCCTGCAGTGTATCAGGGTATTCTAGACTCTCGAGGTGTGTCCGTGGACAATCACAAAGGCCTATGACCTTATGAAGCCCACATTCTAGAGGGGAGGATGGAAATAAGTAATCAGTAAACAGGAAGATCATGTAAATCATGCATTAAACGTGATGGAAAAGGAATAGTATAGGCAATTTGGAGCACCAAGAAGGTGAGGGTAGTGGTTTAAGTCCTCTTTGAGAGTGGAGCCGAGGACATATGAGGTGTATGAGAGAACTGTATTTATGTGGATCTGTCTCTGTGTCTTCTACTCCATGGGTCTGCATGGCTATGCAGTGCCGTCCCCTGATGGGAGGGTGGACCTCCACGTGACACTCAGAGGCCGGTCAGAGTTCTTACGGCTCAGGTTCTAGCTGTCCTCCTTTTATCTCTTTTCTCCTTTCTGTTGGGGTTATCCAATCCCTATCCCACGCTGCAAACTGGAATGTGTTGGGGTAGGGCCTGGGCTCCTTATATTTCAGTGTGCTGGACTAAGAAGAGCCACACTGAGAGGACATGATGGAGAGGATTCTGTTACCCAAAGATCCTGGACTGGGACGTGGATCCGTGGCTTCCCTGGACTCCGAGTTGGGTTCCTGAGGGCAGAGGTGAATATGTCTCTGCAGAATTAGAATAAAACAAACATCCCAGACGGCTGGACTGTGGCTGAACTTACCCTCATTCTCCACGTTGGGTGCCTAGCCTTGTGTTGAGGTGTGGGACCATGTGGTTGACATCTAGCTGATGCCACGTCACCCGAGTGCAGATGATCACCTCCACATCCCTCAGGAGAAAGCGTTCTTTCTCTGTTACTTCCTTTCCTATCTGCCATGTAGGGTACAATGGAAGGAGGGTGCTGAGGGTCGTGAGTCACAGAATGGAAGGATGCGAGTTCCGCCAGTCCACAAAGGACCACAGGATGGGTGAGAAACAGAATTCTATTCCATGTCGTCACAGACTTTGGGGCATCTTTGTTACGGAAGAGAACATACGCTGACCAATAAACCACACGAAGAGCATATCTTGCGTGGCCATCGTTTATTCCACTGTTATAGTGGGAGGAACATTGATTACCAGAATGTGGTAAAAGATGTCAACTGAATTAATAAAAGTGATTAGAGGAACCATGATTCAAGTGTTTTCAAACTAAGTTTTCATTTTAATGTATCCAGGTAGAAATGGCATAATAAAAGTCTCATCAACTGATTTGTGAAAAAGTTCAGGTATTTTGTTGTTATAATGCATTAGGAAAAATTTAAGAAAGCATCACCACTAACATGACCAAATAAGTACAGAGTGTGTTAGAAGAAAAAATAATCAATGAAAAATATGTGAATGAATTCAAAAAGTAGTCCTAGGAAATAAAACTTCAACTTATGTCATAAATTATAGATGGATAGACTTTTGATAATTATACTTTATATCCCAGAGCCCTAAACTTTTTATCATATTTCTTGTAAGTTTTTAAAATAAGAAATTGATGTTGGGTCTTCCTCATCTTCTCTCATCTTTATGGAGTCTAGATGAGAAGGGGACAGGTTCATATTTGGGAGCCTCTTGGTTAGGTCTGGTGAAGAAGCCCTCTCAGGTTTCTCCTAGTCTCCAGAAGACACGGGACACCTCTTTCCAAGGGGGTTGCAGATATACAGCTAGGAAAGAGCAGGTGGCTTTTGCCCTCAGGGCCACTGTGGCTTAAGATGTGTAGGGAGGTGGGCGCGGTTGGGGAGGATCAGGCTGAAGGCAGGAGTGGGCTGTGTTCGGGGAATAGAGTGCAGACATCCTCAAATCCCCTGCACCATTCAGTGAAGGCATCAACCCTCAGCATCTCTGTAGAGGTGGACTGACTCCTGCCACCTGGAAGGCAGCAAGCTCAGCCCTGAGTCTTTGGAGAAGCCCTGAATGGGCGGAAGGTTCTTGCCCTTGTGGACGAGACAGTCTGGAGAACTCAGGTGTCCCTGCAGGAATCTCGATGTGGCAAGTGCGGGAAGTGCAGGGCAGTTTGGCAAAAGCTGCAGCATACTGGGTCAGTTTCCCAGATGGTTAACTGGTTCGTGGGAGGTCTGTGAGGTGGTGGGGTCAGGTAGGAGATCAGCTGTAGGTAGAGCATGAAACTGAAGGGAGGAGACAGAACCGGAAAAATCAAGTTGGGGGCTAACAAAAAATAGTTTGGGAAAGTGGTTGGCCTGGATCCATTATGAGACTTATTTCAGTCAGAAATATGGAGGACCGTGACAATACAGCAAACTGCCTTCATAACCAGTTTCTATCTGAGCCAGAAAGTAAATATTCGCTCTCAACAACTATTTTTTTTCTTTTTTGTATCAGGGATTGAACTCAGGGGCACTTAACCACTGAGCCACATCCCCAGCTCTATTTTGAATTTTATTTAGAGACAGGGTCTCACTGAGTTGCTTAGCACCTCACTTTTGCTGAGGCTGGCTTTGAACTCGTGATCCTCCTGCCTCAGCCTCCTGAGCCACTGTGATTGCAGGTGTGCGCCACCGCATCGGGCCTCCCCCAACAACTATAAGGTCATGGCTGCAGTAGGAAGAAGAAACAAAGGCGTAGAAAACAAGAAAGAATCATTAAGAGAAACAAAATGTGTGTTTTTTAAAAATCTGCACAAGATCAGCAATCAGTCTCTGGACATGAAACTTGCCAAAGTGTGCCATCTGTCTAGCCTGGACTTCAAGCTCCTCACCCAGAAGCAGAACTCTGCTTTCTAAATGGCTCGCCCAATGGATGGCATGACAATTCTGCCCTGTCACAGAGGAGCTGAGGGAAAAGCACTGCTGAAGTAGGAAGGGCCCAACTGCCCACTTAACTGGCATCAGCTGCCCGTCAGATGGCAAGATGGGCAGACCCTGGGCTCCAGAGTGGGTGGTGTTGGATGTCCCAGGATCCTTCACAGAAGAGGAGGAATCCTGATGAGGATGTGCAGGGAAGACCCCATGGCTACTCAACAAGGAAGCAGCCCCTGCCCTGGGACTCCGTATCGGAACTGGGCACAGCCCAGGAAAGCTTTTGTGGGCAAATCTATTTTTCTTCTTTCTCAGCAACATCTTGTCTGACTTCTATTATTTTAAATATAATAAAATTTATGAAAATAAATATGAAATAATATAGAATACATGTTCTTTGGGGAAACAGATATTAAAATACTTATTAAAATAGAGCTATTAAAATGAGCAGTTGCAAAAAGCAGCTAAAAATGACCACCGTTTACATTTTGCTGAATTCAATATCAGGGTTTTTCTTTATCTTCTATAAACCCGCATACAAGCATGTATTTTAGCAAAGATGCATAACATGTAATCGGAATTCATACCACAAAATTGTGTACTTGAAGATGTTTAAGAGGGTGAATTTTGTTTTACATGTATTTTCCACAATAAAAGTGTATTTTAAAAAGCAACCCCAAATACTATGAGCAACGAAATTGTATTATTTCACATTCACAATAGCTATGTATCCTAAAGCCCGTTTCCCCACCCAGAATCAGCCTATTTCATGGTGATCAGTCTTGGAATCACCTCTAGTCTTTCCTACCACTGAGATCAGCAGTAATGTGAACCACCTCAGCATGTGTCCAACACGTAAGGTACGTCATTCTCTCCTGCCAGTTTGACAACTACTCATCATCTCGTGATGATGTTAGACGATTTTTATCTTATAGTTTCCAAACATCTCTGAGCTCTTGCCAAACCTTCCCAGAGMACTTGTGCATCTTGCAGGTACTTACTCCCTGTCACCTGCCCCAGACCTCTTGGTGTTATGGACTAGTCAACGGATGAATCCTGGAGTCCTTCCGAAATCTTACATTGCATTTTTTTTTCTTTTTCCTGCTTCTCCTCATAGATCCATGCCCCTGTGGCTCACCTCTGAAATTAGGAAGACCAGACTGTGGAGAAAGGGAGGGTTTGGGATTCTAGGGGACCGGGCTCTTGAAAACTTGAAGGTGCTCTTCAAGCACTCCTTTCCCTCCTAGAGTTCACAGCGTGGCTCTGTTCATTTGCCAGTTTGTTAACTGATTATTGGCCTCACCTGAATTTAAATTTCTTCCCTAGTCTCTCGTTAAAACTCACCTCTTATTTGAAATCAATGCATAAAACTGTTTCTGTGGGTCATTCAGGGGGAAAGAGAAAAAGAGGGATGGGGGAATAGAGAGAGGGGGAGGGTGTTATGTGCACATGTTTGGATGAGAAGGGCACAGGCACCAAACTCCTAGGGAAAACTGCAAATTCTCCCAGGGAAAGTGCCGTGCATCTTCCTCCCTCACGCTGGTCCAGCCACAGGACTTTGTGCCCGGGGCCGGGGCCCAGCAAAGTCGGCACCGCTGAGCAATGAGTGTGGAATCTGTGTAGGCGGTTACTTAAGTGTAGAAAGGCACACTGAGGGTGCCTCGGTGACAACTGACAACGCGTGGAAGAATCCGTGTCCTGGAAAGGAAAAACGGGGGAAGAAAAACAACATGAGGTTCAAGTGCAAAGGAATAATGTGTTCTTGGAAGGAGGAGGAGACTTAGAGGCAGAAAACTGAGGATCAGGAGTGGCTGGGGACCGACATCATGGAACTCTGATGTGACTCAGCCAGAGTAAGAAGAGAGTCTAGTTCTGCCTATAGCTGCCCAAAGTGACAGGCGCTGGCTGTCGTTGCACAATACCCTGCTGCTATCCCTGTAATGCCCTCTGAACATGTCTCCATCACCTCCCAGGAGTGCACAGTGCCAGGATTAACAAATGATGCATACACTAACCCCTCCCTGTCCATATGCTCTGACTCACAACGGGAGACCAAGAAAGGGTAGAAATTTAGCCACGGACACCCAGCCAGGATCAGAGGTAAAAGAAATTTAATGGGAAAGAGCAGAAATACACATTTTTTTTTTCCATCCAGAATTCTCTTCAAATGATCTCTGAGCAACTGGAGCAAACACAGGAACGAAGACCTTCTGTTTAGTCTAGAGACTCAGAATACTTCTCAGAATGTGCACAGGGGAGGAATTTATAATCATAGATTTAGAATATGAATAAGACAGAGACCACGACTCAGGGTGACAACATGTTGATTGTGACATCTACTGGAAGTTGAGACAGAGGCAGAGGGGAAGAGGGTGTTCATCAGGTGGTGCTCAGCTCCTGAAGAGCCTGGCTCTGGACGGCTTCACTTCTGCTTGGTCTTCTGCTGAGCTGGGCCTGGAGCCACTTTTGAGGGGAAAGGCTCAGGGACCACGGTATAGCCTGGCTGTGGAGCCACAGTGCAGCCTGGCTGAGGGGCCACGGTGTAGCCTGGCTGAGGGGCCACCGTGTAGCCTGGCTCAGGGGCCACGGTGTAGCCTGGTTGAGGGGCCACGGTGCAGCCAGGCTGAGGAGCCACGGTGCAGCCTGGCTGAGGGGCCACGGTGCAGCCTGGCTCAGGGACCTTGGTGTAGCCTGGCTGAGGGACCACGGTGCAGCCTGGCTCAGGGGCCACGGTGCAGCCTGGCTCAGGGACCTTGGTGTAGCCTGGCTGAGGGACCACGGTGCAGCCTGGCTCTGGAGTCTTGGTGTTCCCAGGCTGAGGGACATTTGGGTGGCACGGCTCTCCTTTCGGGGGAGGCTGGCAGGGCTGCTTCACTTGCTGCTCCTGCAGTTGAGGGGGTGGGACAAAGGGCTGCTTCTGCTGGTAGGAGCTCATGCTTCAGGGGAGGCTGGACCTGGAGGCAGAAAAGTGACTTAGTTTGGAGAAGCCAGGAAGAAGCTCCGTTTGATGGCCATGGCTCTCACGGGGCACCTCTTCATAAGGGAGAGTCTCCCTTTTCTCTCTCTCTGTTTCTGTGAATTTGAGATCAGAGGAGGCTTTAGGGTCCCTGCACACTGTCAAGGTCAAAGGTCAAAGTGACTGGCTGAGTCCCAGGAGACTGGAGCCCTCCTCTGCTTCCTCTCTGCCTGGAGCATCCAGAAACCTCCACGTGACCCAGAAACTGAACTCAGACCACTCAGCACAGAGCAGCTTCCTAGGATTGATGGAAGGCCCCAGGTTTTCAAAAGTCTGGAAAGATGTGGCATGTCCCCACTCACGTCCACCCTGCAGAGTGCCCCGGCTCTCCCAGGGAAGCTCTGGGGGGACCTCCCCTGGGCCTCCATGACCTCGGGAGCCTCTGTCCACACCGTCCCCTGTGCGGTGGTTTCTGGAAGGCTTCCCACTGCCTGGCTGCTTGTCCCTGTGTCCTCCCCAGGCCTCTCCCTGAGTCCAGCTGGCCTTCCTCCTGTCCCCGAGCAGAGCCCCGTCCTCCCTTTTTCTACTGAACACTTTAATAATTGAATGTTAGTAAATCATCCCCACGTATTCTATTCTCTGAGGGATTATGGAATTGAGGAACAATGAAGAACTTAACTTTTAAGCATCAAAATTGCATAATGCCCTGCCTTTGACACCGAAGAGTCTCGATACACCAGAGGGACAATTAAAATGTCACTGAAAGCAGTATTAACAATGTTTCCAGACGTCACTGCCATTTTCTGACCCTCCATCCCACAGCTATAATCTGAGGGAAAAGTAAAAAGCACCTACATTTGCACCCTTAAGTACAAACTGCTATTGCATTTAGAATACTATCCCCTTAGAATGGCAGAAAGTCCCCAGTCCCAATGGAGGAGCAGGGGGTAACTTCAGACTTCCAGGCGGGGAGTCTTACCTCGGGGTGCTGAGCTGTGTGACTTCTCTGGTCTGGGGTGACGTCTCCAGGCAGCTGGAGTTTTATWCAGAAAATGAGCCCTGCCTTCAGGAAATGTGAGTTTGGAAAGCCGCTCTGCCTTCATTCCAGCAGCTGTGATGAAGATCTTTGGCTTAACATTTTTCCACACTTACTGTCTGACAAGGATGTCACCAGGGCCTGTCCCACTGTCCACCCAGTGTGGGGTGTTTGCTGTGGGCAGCAGGTTGCTTGGGGGCCAGTGGGTTAAATCAGGAGGAAGCGCTGGACGAAGCTTCTTTGTCAAGACCCTCATCTTTACTCGAGTGAACCCTGTTGATCATTTCCGTAGTTGAAGTGGACGTGAGCTGAACGAGACCTTTCTGGTTCCTCTGGGAGACCGTAGGGAAGGTGGTAACAGATGGAATCACTCCTGGGTGGGCTCAGGCCTGGGAGGGGAGACAAGGCTGGAAGGCCTGATTTGGGAGTGCTCCTCGCTCTGGTGGAGGCCATGAGATGACACATGGACTTTTTTGTTGTTTGTTTTTGGTTTTGGGCACTGGAGATTCGAACCAGAGCTTTACCACTGAGCTACATCCCCAGTCCTTTTTAATTTTTATTTTGACATAGGGTCTCTCTAAGTGGCTGAAAGCCCCACCCAGGGCTGAGGTTGACCTTGAACTTGGAATCTTCCTACATCAGCTTCCCAAGTTGCTGGGATAGAGGCCTGTGTCACTGTGCCGGGCTGTTCCTGTTGACTTTTTTGAATGTTAAAATTTAAACATATTTTGATTGACATGAAACAGTGATGCACAACTGGGAGGTACACTGTGATGTTCTAATTCATGTATACATTAGGTGAAACTCATTCAGGGTAATTAGCATATCCATCAGCTTAAACTTTATCATTAATGCAAAAAATATTAAAAATTCACTCTTCTAGTTGTTTTCTTTTTAAATACTATGCATTATGCTAACTATATTCACCTCATGGTGCCATGAAACACCAGAGACTGACTTAGCTCATATGACTATAGTATCATACCCATTGACCAACTCTCTCCAGCATCTAGTAGATACTGTTCTCTCAAACCCATGAAACCATCTTCTTTTTAGATCCCACGTAGGAGTGAGATCTTGTGATGTCTGTCTCTCTTTTCCTGACTCGTTTCACCTTCCGTAATAATCTGTAGTTCCGTCTGGGTCGTCACAAATAACAAGGTTCCATGTATTTTTATGGCCATACAGAGTCCGGTTGGGAGTGCTTCCTCATTTTCCCCATCCATTCATCTGTTGATAGATATTTGGGYTGATTCCATATCCTGGCACCTGTAAAGAGTGCTACAATGAACACTGGAGTGCAGGTATCTCTTCAACATGCTGGTGTATTTTTTTGGGGTGTGCACCCCGTAGTGGGATTGATGGATAAGGGTAATTCTGTGTTTGGCAGGGAGACATCTGACCCTATTTCCATAATGGCTTTACTAACTTACATTCCCACCAAGCGGGTACAGGAGTTCCCCTTTCACCACATTCTAATTAATTAAACATTAATTCTTCTAATCCATGAGCATGAGGTGTCTTTTCACTTATTTGTATTCTCTTCAATTTCTTTCATCAGTGTTTTATAGTTTTCTTCGTAAAGGTATTTCACCTCCTTGGTTAGATCTATTGCTAGGTACTTTTTAGTGGGTATTGTAAATGGGATAATTATCAATTTCTTTTTCAGATAGTGTCCCATTAGCGTGTAGAAATGCTATATTGATTTTTGTGTATTGATGTTTGTTTGTCCTACAACATTATTAAATTCACTTAAAAAGTTCCAGCATGTGTGTGTGTGTGTGTGTGTGTGTGTGTGTGTGTGTATGTGTGTGTGTGTGTATATGTGTGTTAAGTCCACAGGGTTTTCTATGTTCAAAATCATGCCATCTGCAAACAAGGTCTGTTTAACTTTCTCTTTTCCAACGTGGATGCCCTTTAATTACTTCTTGACTAATCCTCTGGCTCGTACTCCTAATGTAGGGTTGCGTTGTGTAAAATTGTTGAAGGTGGGTATCCTCACCCTGTCTTTAATCTTAGAGGAAGAACTTTCGGTCCTTCCTTATTCTGTATGCTGTTAGCTGTTGGCTTGTCTTTTAGAGCCGTTATTGTGTAGAGAGACATTCCTCCTCTACCTAATTTGTTGAGAATATTTATTATTAGGTGATACTGAATCTTATCAAATGCTTTATCTGCACTTATTGGAATGATCCTATGATTTTTGTCCTTGATTCTGTGTATGTAATGTATCGGAGTCATTGATTTGCAAACGTTGGATGATCCTTATCGCCTTATATCCTACTTATCATTATTTTTTCAATGTGCTATTAAATTCAGTTTGTTAGGATTTTTAGAATTTTTGCATCTAGGCCCGTCAGGCATATTGACCTATGGTTTTTGATATTGCTATGTTCTGATCTGGTTTTGTATCAGGGTAATGCTTGCCTTGTAGAATGAGTTTGGAAGATTTTTTCCAATAATTTGAGAATAACAGGTTTTAGTCCTTCTTTAAATGCTTAGTAGAATTTAGCAGTGAAGTCATCAGGTCCTGGGTTTTTATTTGATGAAATTTTTTTTACTATTSACTTGATCTTATTGCTCATTATTGTTCTATTTAGGTTTCCTCTTTCTTCATGAATCAATTTTGGTAGGTTGTAGGTGTCCAGGAATTTATTCTTTTCTTCTATTTTTTTTCACTTTGAGGTGTATAGTTGTTTATAGTTGTCGTGTTTTTATTTTCATCTCCAATTTTATTTGAGTTCCCCACCTTTTTCTTAGTTTGTCTAGCCAAATGTTTGTTGATGTTGACTTGTCAAAAAAAAGAAGAAAAAAACCCGATTCTTGGTTTCATTCGCTTTTAAATTTCTATTTAAATTCTATTTATTTTCTGTTCCTTATTATTTCCTTCATTCTATTGTTCTGGGTTTATGTTTTCTTATTTTCCTAGTTCCTCAGTGTCTAATGTTCAGCTGTTCATTTGAGACCCTCCTTCTTAACATTGCTTTTGCTGTGTTTTGTTAGTTTTGGCAAGTTGTATTTCCATTTTCGTTTAACTCAGGAAATTTTTTACATTTCTTCGTTGACCCATTGGTTGCTTAAGAACGTGTTATTTAATTCTCATTGATCTATACAATTTCCAGAGTACCCCTGTGATTACCTGGATCAGGATGCATGAATCCACTTCTCAATAAAAAGGCAAGCTGAGATTTCCCTCCCTCTGAGGCGAAGGCCAACACTGGCTGAGCTTTTGGGTGTGGCAGAACCAGTGGGTGCCTTTTGCCTGGTTTCCAGCTTTGGTTGGTCTCAGCCTGGGTGGGGCCTGGAGGGGGTCTTTGAGGCTGCAGGAAGTGCGTTTAGACTCCCAGCTGTGGCCTGCTGGTTCTTGAAATCYCCTGTGAGAGTCTTCCCTTTCTCAGGCTAGGCCCAGAGGCTGGGAATCTAAGAACTCAAGCCAAGAAATGCTTCTTAYCTCTTCTGGGAGTGACCTATTGGCTTTGTGGTGACTCTGATATTGGAATCTCTGGTCCAGTGTAGCCCTGTGCATGCTGGTCTCTGTGAGCTCTGCCCGCTTGTTTACCTGGGCTCACCTGGGCTCGCCAGTCATTTCCCTCCTATGTTCTGCTTGAGCTGAGAACAGAAGGGGCTTTCTGAAAAGCGTCTCAGAGGGCTGGGGAAGTGGAGTGTGGGCTTGCCCTGTGCTTTCTACCCTCTGTGAGAGCTCTGGCCCTGGGTGGTGGTGTTCTGACTTGGGAGAAGGGAAGGGAGGATGTTGTCCTGGATAGACCAGATCTCTTAGGCTTTTAAAGCAGATTTTTATTCGGTTCTGTAAAGCGTAAAGGTGACACAGTCTTATTCCCCAATTTGGGGGTTTTCACCAAGATGTTATTGTCTGTGTGTAATTGCTCGTTTATCTTTCTAAAGGGAGAGCAAAGGCTGGAATCTCTTATTCTGTCTTGGTGATATC